TTTAGTTTATAAGTCCGGCAAATAAAGCGGAGACATAATTGCAGATAGGGAGATATAGAGACAGATAATCGAGTCAAGTTGTAAGTAAAGTGACTGAATCGTTGTGAATTATAGTGTGTTTAAGTTAAAGTGACTGTGGAAATTAAGTGTATTGCAAAGTTGTATTGAGAAAGAATAAACTAGTTTTATTTAAACAAGGACTGTATTGCTGAAGTTTTTTGGAAAGAATTTCTACGGAAAATTAACAAACGAACACAGAGACGTAACATATTGTTTGTTATGAATAATATTTGTTAGATTAGGTTTGATATTGATCAAACTTTGCTGTATTCTTCAATATATGTGGTCTTGTTCAGCTAATATCTTTTGAAATAAAAAATAGCTATGTATCTTTAAACACATTCTAGTAGATGGCTATCAAGCCATCTATTTGAATAACCTGTTTGAAAACAACTTTTTATATGAAATTTATTAAATATTATTTTAATTTTTTTCTATTGTTTAAAGTTTTATAATCTCTTTGTTGGTTGGTTGATAAGCATGAAGCTACACAATAGGCTATCTGTGCTCTGCCTATCAAAACCCAGTTTTTAGCATTATAATTATTTGGCCTTACCAATGAGCCAGGTTTGTAATGGCTTTGTAATGTGACAGAAAGGTGTAATTCAAAATATATATAGTAATTACAACTTTTTGTGTATAATTGTACATGTTTAGTGCCCTTGACAATTTCTAAAGTGTACAAAGTTTCATTTTTACATAATAACAAAGTACAAGGTGACAAAAGAATACTCAACATATCAAAATCATTCCTCCACCTAATGAAACAATCAAACAAACAAACCCAAGCTAAATATTGCCCTTTTTACACATTTACCTATCCAAAATATAACACCAACAGCACAAATTTGATAAGACAAACAATACACAGATTTCCAACTAGATTAATATTTGGCTTAAGTCAATAGAGGTTCAGAATTTTTAGTGGTTTGAACAATCTGCCTAATAGGTGTTCTACTGGAGTGGTGGATTTATGAAAGAGTAAGGAATAGAAATGAAATATTAGGCTTAAGTTTTTGAAGTTCAGATGTGTATTTGTTCATTTAAATTACTTTTCAATTAATTGTATGTAAACTTGGAAAACAATTTACCATGTATTTTGATTTTTGTAATTAATTTAAGTTAGTTTTATTAAAATCTTGTTGCATAGTTTAATGGACAAGAAAGGTTACATTTAATTTTGTTGTAACTCTTTCAGTGAATGAGAGAGAAGCTTGATGGCCGAAATGGCCTTATGACAGCTTCCTCTCTTACTTTTATTTTCTTTATACATACAAATTTTATTACAATATTAAATTTATCAATAAACAGTTTCATACCTTTTATGAGAGATTTCAGTATTCCTTTTTAATGCTTTATAATGTTGTGTTCGTCTGTAGTCTGCTCCAATAGCCAAAATTGTGAAGGTGGGAAAGAGGATCACAAACTTATAATAGCGCAGCTTCTGAAGAACGTTTTGAATCATAAAGTTCCCGCTCATCAGCTTTAAATAAAAATAAGAAAATCTTACTTTTTTATTAACATATTAATGAATTTTAATAATATTTTAACTATAGCAAAATATAACATATAAAGTGCAGTAGTGATATTATCAAACAGCTTCAAGAAGTTTTAAAAAATCTATACTTCATGGGTAAATGGAGAAAAACTATTGCAATTTATAAGGAAAAAATACTGTATATGTTAGAGCTTTTAAATATAAGTTATTTGCAATTAAAAGTTTCAGAAAGAAGATAAGTAAAGCAATTTAATATGGGTAATGCCAAATGTGCTACTTTATAATATAGAATAAGTGTAAAATGCTTCAACACCCAGGGTTAGCCTTTCTTGATTAAATTGGATAATTTTTTTCAAAATCAACACCCAAAATACTGAATACAAAACAAACATGCATGAAACATTTAATAACTCAAATGGCCCATATTAAGAAAACCCCCATAAACAACTGCTTATACTTAGAATGGGTATGGAAAATTGAATGTTTCAAGTTCACTATATACAAAAAGAGAGGGAAAAATAAAGTATTATTGTCAAATTTTATTTAACTTGAAAAACTGAAAGGATGAAATTATTCAAATGGAAAGAATGCAAATTTATTTCTATAAGACAGTAAACTTGTCAATGAAATCCATTTTTTGTATTCAGTATCAAGCATATTTGTTCATTTTACATGACATTAGTATCTATTTAGCTGAAAAGAGTGAAATGTTGGTTTCATTTATGAGTAGCGGTAAGCTTTTTATTATAACCTAAAACCTACTATACATTAGTTATAAATAACAAACTAATTAATACACAAAGATTAATTATAACTTTATTAACAAAGAAATTACACTAATAAGTTAATAGTAATGTTGTATTTGTGAATAACTCTGTTTAATTTTGATATTTTTTAAAGCATGTAATCCTGCTTTCTTCTGTCACGAAAGCTTATTAAAGTGAACTGAATTAATTTTAGCATGGTCTTTTTAGCCATTTTTAAACAATCATCTTAATATTTATCAGTCTAATTGAGTCTATTTTAATCAATCTTCTATTAAATAAATGGTCTCTGAAACCCTCTATATAGTTTTAAAGGAATTTAATTTTAAGTTAATTTTCAGCAAAGGCAATGTTTGCTCATTAATACACATTCATCAATTAGTTTCTGAAAACTAACTAGCAGACTTATTCATGTTGTTAGGAAAACACAAATTCAAAAATCAATTAAAGACACAAGTAAGGAAACTTATGCCCAAGGGCTTTCAAAAGATAACCTTTCTTCATCAGGGGGAAACTGACAATGATTTTCTCCTGATGCAAAAGGGTCTACCTTTTGAAAATGCTCAGGTTATATAGTTTATCTTTAATTAGTAGGCCTAGGTATTTTTGTTTTTTATTTTATCAAACTACACTTGTCAGTATATTATATCAAGCTAGTGTCTATCTAGTTTCAAGCCCTTCTTTCAAAGTTAAGATCCTTGTTCTCAGTCCAAATTTGCTTGTCCTTTCACCTATGTGATGAAGAGGAGCCAGAGCTGGGATAACTTTTTAAATTGAGTTTATGAAGAAAATGTTTTTAGTATTTCTTCAAATGGTTATATCAATTGTAAACATGCATCCAATAGGGACAACTGATTATTGTCGTAGTTGGTGATGGTATCAATAGCACAAAAGAAATATCACTCTGTCTTTTGTCTCAAAAGCCTTTCAAGAAGACATGGTGAATTCCACTTTGTCTGTACAACTTGTACAAGTTTTGTTTGAAACATATATAAAATCACTTTGTATAATCATTAATTTCTAACATGCTAGAGGTGATGGTTGAAATGTGTAACAATTTTTCTTTTGACTGTTATCAGATCAACTACAGCTTGCTGAGATTCCAGAGTATTCATGATCACTAACTGTAATGTGTGGAGGAAACATAATTCAATCCAGTATCGTTAAATATTTTCATAATATCTGCTCCATTATCTGTTATTAATTATTATTTTCAATGATACAGTGACTTGTGAAAGCAAGTAATGCATTTATTTATTACTAATGACCAAAAATCTGATTTTTAAAGAAATAAAATTGAGAATCAAAATGTTACATAAAGTTGCAGTCTTACTGGTTTGCTAGTTCTTCTGAATGATAGTGAAGTTAATTCATGTAAAATAATAACATGCTATTAATATTTATTCTAATACTTATTTTTAAATGTCTTAAATATAATTGATAATACTTATAATTCATTCACTTAATGTAGTTCACATCATTACAGTTGTCATTCATGAAACTGTACATATAAATAGAATCTAGACCATTACATCTATCATATCCCAGATAGCCTGTCGAGTCCCGGTATTGGACAAAAGGCCACATTGGCAGTGGATACAGCCACATGGTTGACATATCATTACATATTATACTTTGCTTTTACTCACAAGTTCTTAAAATTTTATATACACATATATCTGGAACAAGTGTTTCATGTAAGTTGTGCTTGGTAATTTATACAGACTACTTTCTTCATCAAATGAGAAGCCTTCATCATAGCAAGTGAATACAGCAAGTTATCCAATGCAATTATTTCACTGACTACATAGTGTAACTTTTCAGTAAGATGATCATTAAAGTCCCATTAGTTCTATTTTTTGTTTGAGGGGGGAACTTTTCTAAATGTTCTTTTTAGTATTACCCAGAAACTTGAGATCACAATATCACACACTTTCAGTATTATATCCAGTAGAATTCAGTGTTTGCATAGATATATTTAAATCCTTTTGAAGGCATGAAAAAAATTACAATTCAGTGAGAATGTATGTGATCATGTTGTGTGTGTGTGTGTGTGTTTTGGGCAATGTCATTCATACAAAAAAGGTATGATTCTACGTATCTGAAAAATTCAGATTTTGTCTCTGTAACATTTTTATTATCCAAGATTTTTGGATCAATTCCTATGGATACATAAATCACTGATATACTACTTACTAAACAGTACTAGAAAGTTCACATTTCCTACAAACCATTAAATTTTTGCTGCTATAAAAGTAATTTGAGGAATAAAGCTATTTAGTAGTTACCAACTTTAACATTCTGAAGAAGTTCAGGTTTTATTTAGGAAAACCCTCTGCTGACAAATTCAGCAGTTCTACTAATGATTTTGATTCATAAACCTGCATAGAACTTCAAATGAATACAATTTATAATTTCTTTGTGAAATTCTATATCATACTAATGTACCATATTTAAATATTAGCAAAAACAAAAATCAACTGATGAGAATAAGAATTGTTTGCTTGAAATTCAAACTTATCATTTCAAACAATGCAACCCAATTCAATGGCCCTAGATGGCCTTTTCAGTATGTCTGTAGAGCTGGGCGATTTAATCAATTACCTACTGGCAGTAATTACACTGCTTAGTGTCACATGAACTAATCAATTAGTCAAAATTACAATTAAACATCAATACAAATTAGTGTTCCTGATTATTATTTTTCAACGATTCCAACAGTTTATTAATTGAAATGCTAATTATATTACCTGTCACAAAAATAATAAACTAATCAAAATTACGATTTCTGATTATTATCATTCTTGATTATCCTAACTCTCCACATAATTGAAACATTGTCACTAAATGTGTTCCTCCTGTTTTTGTTAAAGCAAAGCTACTAAGACTAATTCCCACTGTTACTAATTTTGAATAGTTTCCACAAGGAAGGAAACTAGCTGGAAGCACGCATCACCAACTTGTCTTATTTCTTTTGTAATAGCTGCTAACTACAGGAAAGGCAAGTGGCTGGCAGCACCATCAATTTAGTTTTTTTTTTGTTGTTACTTATACATACAATGGTTTGAAGAACAGTGTACTAATTGATTAAACAAATGTAATTGTTTAACAGGGCTTGTCGATTAATCAAGTTGCAAATTCCACTAATAACCCAGCTCTACATGTTTGACACTAATTAAACCAGTCACATGCTACCAAATTAATCATCTAAGTTATTTCTATTAATATTCATGCCTGCTAATAACTGTCAGTCAATTACCAGTTAAATAATTGAATGGTGAAATTAAGCTAAATGCAACCCACATGAACATGTAATAGTACATTGAGTTTGACATAATTTCCATTGCCATTGTCTCGCATATGAACACTCTCCATGCCTACTGGTAACTACTTGTATAGTCAAACACGATCAGTCACAGCCTTTACAGAAATATAAATGGACCAAGGTAAGTACTTTTGAGGACTACACACCTAGACATAAAGACCCAAGCATGAAAATGGTACGTGGACATGGGACAGGGTTTCCCCACTGAAATGAAGTTCTTCCATGTAGCTAGTAATACTCAATAGGAAAAGTAAGATATAGTATTTTAAATCTAATTTTATTTTTCAGGCCTAAAACGGAAAAAATGTTTGAAAATATGACTTATTAGTATCAAATCAAAATGGTTTACACATAAGTTTTCTGCTATGTTACATTTGGAAGGAAGAGAAACAATCAGTTTTCTTTCTCCACTAATAGAAAGAAAAGGATAGCTACAAGTAAAAAACCAGGTTGGCTCACAAAGAGTTTAAGAAATAAAATTAAAGAAAAGCATAATAAATTTATTAAATTTAAATTGACCGGTATGACAGGAGACATAGAAGATTATAGAAGATCAAGAAAGTTGGTGAAACATGAAATTAGGACATCAAAAAGAATGTATGAGAAAAAGTAGGCTGAAAATGTAAAAATTAACAGTAAGGATTTCTTTAAATACATTAAGGGGAAACAAGATGTTAGGATAGGGATAGAACTCTTGAGGGATTATAAAGGAAGGCTAGTATCTGAGGATTATGAGATGGCCGAGTTATTAGATTTTACTTTTTCCTTTTTATCAACTGATCAAGATGTGGAATACTGCTTAAATCTTCATTAGTAAAAACCAAAGGCCAACCACCCTGTTAAAAAAATAAAACTGTCTTAGCTGAAGATGACTCCTACCTTTTAATAGACTTTCCAAAATTTTTCCACAACTGATGTAACTAATGGGTCTGTAATTACTGGAACAATTTCTATCACCTCCCTTGAAAAGAGGAGTTATATTAGCTAACTTCCAATCCTCTGGTACCTGCCCACTATTCATGGACTGACAAAAATAGTAGTTATTGACTCACATATCCAATCTTTAACTTCCTTCAAAACTCCTGGGGAAATATTATCTGGCCCTTATCATTTTTTAAACTTCCCAATTTTTTCTTAACCAGCTCAAAATTAACACAGTCATCTTGTTTGATCTCGTTTCCAGGAATGGGTTGCCTTCAGATGTTGTAGAGGCAGTAAATTTAAGTGTGTTTAAGAAAAAGCTTGATAAGCATATAAATGAAAAGGGCTGGGTTTAATTTTTTTTAAATCATTTTAATTTAGTTTTGAGGATAGAACAGCCGAAATGGACCAATAGGTTCCATGTTGTCCCAAAATAATATGTTATGTTAAAACAAATATGGATTGCTCATGTTAAATCCTACCATTTTTTGCTTCAGCTTCTGTCCTGTGTTAACATATAAAACTGTGGTATGAATGTAAAATACTGAGTAAGGTTCCAGGCTACATTTATCACTTGCACATCACCAAAAAAGAATTGCTTTGAATGTTTAATACAAATTATTACTTTCTTCCACTTGTACTAAGTTATACTAAATTGGAAAGCGAGCGAATTTTGTGGATTGCTCAGTGACCGTTCTAGTTAAGTTTAACTTTCTCAAATCTGAAGTACGTTTTAAAATTAAGGAAAATTTAAAACCACGTGGATTTATTTTTCTGCACACTAAAAAAATAACCTAATTTCTACAAAAATCTATAGCAATGCTATTACTAGTACTAGTAGGAATACTAATAGTACTAGCATACCATTCCAATTAGAATATTTTTTGTTACTGATACATCTGAAAAAATTCAAGTTTTAAACACGTCCTTTGTGTTAAAAAACACATTAATTAAAGTTCTTAAAACCAAGACTCACTTTTCAAATTAACCAACACGTACAAATAGGCTTTACGCTTAAGCGTATTTAACCAACCACAAAAATAAACGCTCTTCTTCTAACTGACAAAACAGTATCGAAAGGAGAATCGAGAGGGAGCTTGTTTGTTTGTAATTAAGCACAAAGCTATAAAACGGGCTATATGTGCTCTGCCCACCACGGTTATCGAAACCCGGTTTCTAGGTTTGTAAGTCCGAAGACATACCGCTATGTCACTGTGGGGCTTGTTTGTTTTTAATTTCGCGCAAAGCTACACGAGGGCTAGCTGCGCTAGCCGTCCCTAATTTAGTAGTGAAAGACTAAAGGGAAGGCAGCTAGTCATCACCACCCACCGCCAACTCTTTTACCAACGAATAGTCGGATTGATCGTCTCTTTATAACGCTCCCATGGCTGAAAGGTTGAGTATGTTTGGTGGGACAGGGATTTGAAACCGCAACCCTAAGATTGCGAGTCTGCCATGCGGAGCTAAGAGGGAGCTAGATCGGACGTACGTTATTTCCATAATAGGAGGCCGAAAGCTAGGCTTAATCACTCATACCACAGTAGTGTATTGTCTGTCAGTCAGTCAGTAGACACTAAAATGACGTCACATAAGGGGCGCTTAACGTAGCAATTTGTACTGTCATGACGAAAGTAAAACTTGGGCATGACATGAATCACGAAAAGAATTATGCACTCTGTAGGCTACAACGCAGCATGACATATGAATTTCAAAAGCAAGAAATAAAGATATTTGTCTTAATTTTGGTTCTGTTGCGTCATCGAGATCACGTGACTATTCTCACGCCCACTAGTTTGTAGAACTATTTTGTTCCTTCACGAATGCTCTAGCATTTACTAGATAAGGTAGTCTGGTATATATATATAAGAGGGTGACAACGTGACGCAATAATGTGTGTGTGTAGATAGTGAGTAATTGAACTGCAGTCAGAAGTATTATTGACGTTCGTTGATATAACGTTTATTTTAGCGCGATTGTTGAAAATAAGTGTATCGTAAAGTTGTATTCGAAAAGAATAAACCAGTTTTATTAAGTAAGGACTTGTGTCGCTAAAGTTTCGTCGGAACGAAGTTACGGAAAGTTAATTAACAAATGGAGACGTAACAATATGTTGAATAGTACTTTAGATTACATTTTGTGTCAAATACTACATGAGCTTACATGGTAAAGGATGGTTAAAAGACTTAAAACACTCATAAATGCAAAACTATGCTGAATTGTACTTTAATTTACATTTTATGTCAAACACTACATGGTAAAAGATGGCTAAAACAGTAAAACTTTCATAAATTCAATATTTGCAAATAATGCCAAGTTGTATCTAGCATATAATCTAAAACATACTTTTTTCAATGGTAGTTCAGCTTCAGCTGTATCTGATTCTGGATCAAGACTGTGATCAGCATTCATTTCCTGCGCTTCAGACAATTCACCTTTAAAGTAATTTTGTTCCTTTGCTTTGGTTACTTCTCTTGTTCAACGTGCCTTTGTGGAAAGCCAGTTGAGAACAGCAGGCTGTGTATCCCACAAGTCAATTGGAAGCATATTGTAATGGACGTATAAATAATAATTCTCTGTTTCTAATGACATTATTGAGTGGTCTATGCTTTTCAGTGCATTGCTGGAGCTGATAAGTCTCTCCACATCTGCTGAATGTGGCTTTGCTGCCAAAATTCTGGCATAAACTTTGGCCAAAGTATCAAAGAGCCCACCTGCAGCTAAAAACTGGCTGATTATATTTGACAGGCTTAGGTTAGAGAATTGCCCTGACTCTGTGAAATCGTTGTACTCCATAAGATCTAAATCTGGACACATAAGTTTGTGGACTGCCTCTAGGTTGGAACCCTTTTGAAGTCTGAGAAAAGGAATCAAAGTTTCCAAACTCTCTTTGTCAGTGCTAAACCTTTGAGTTAAAAATTATTTTAGCGCTTCTGTGAGCTCAATCTTGATTGCCGATAAATCGCGTCTGTCTGTAACAAAAAAGATGATGACCTCTTCTCCATCTTGGTTCATCACTAGTTAGCTTAATTCCTTTCAGCATATAGAAGGATCTCTCATCACTTTTGACTAGCTGTGACTGTGCTTGAAGACTAGACACCCAACCCGCTAAAAGAGGTATATTCTGGAAGTTGCCAATATTTGTCTTCACAAGTGTCACCTCTCGTTGAATGTCGAGCAGTGTAATATTATCAGATTGTATATTCGTCTGAAATCTTGAACATACTGCCAGCATATTAGCTGTAAATGCAAGCAATTCTAGGTTTGTTTTGTTTATCAGGAGAGTTTCAAATCCTTTGGCTTGTTTGTCTTGAGACTGCTGCATATACAATACTAATGCATGGCATGATTCTAGAACAGAATTCACCAGGGAAAATGTGTACTCACTCCAACGAACCTCAAATACTTTTGGAAGGGACAGACATGCTAGATCATGTGTCCTGCTAATTCTTTCCACTATCGAATTGTCAGACCAGAAGTGTGAAAAAAGGTTGACAATCCACTTAGTTCCTGCAGCAAGTGGCTTACTTCAGAAACTAAATCCGTGACTGACTTCCAAACTAACTGAGTGCGATGAATAGCACACCAGATTTTAAGTTTTGGGATTTCAGAGTCAATGGAATCAAATAATGCCTATGGACCATTTCTTTCTCCAGTATTAACACTGGCTCCATCAGTTAGTATTGATGACATATTTTGAAAAATATATTCTGTAGTGGGTTCACCAACTGTGTTTTTGCAGGCCATCTTAACTGCATTAAAAAAAGTCCTTGTGCTCCCATTATTTCAGGTTCTGCTGCACCTAAGAGCGCCGTTTCATCTTCACCACTTTTCCTAACTAGCTTTGCCATTACAAAGATCTTGTCTATCTGAGTTCGGTCAACTGACCCATCACATCTAAGGGATATTGCTATGGACTGTTCTATCTTTTTTGAAAGAGAGGCCCTGTCTGCTTCCACAATACACGTTAGCATCTCCAGGTGACTAACAGGTGAGACATACTGCAAGTTTTGATCAAGTTTTGCCTCATTAGATACATAAACTGGGGTTTTTTTATGGACTTCTACAACGGATTCTCTGTAAATTGTGCCAGTATCAATACCAATGGAAGGTATCTTGAGTTTAAAGGTAAACTTTATCAAGGTCTTTACTGCATAAATCTCAACGAACGTAATATCGCCCATTTCTATGGATGTTAATTAACATATCTCTTACACTTGCAGTACGGGGAGTTAGTTCCCTTGGTATTTTCTTCCGCTTTCTGCGATTTTGGCATGTGTTGTCCACTAGAACCGGTGCTGACTGAACCGGTCCTTTGCAAACTGCAACCATTTTCTTAAATCCATTTTTACGTAAAATTTGACTCAATTTCAATATTGGACAACCTGAAACAAAAAACATACTAGTATTACTCTTAGGAAACGAACATTACTTGAAATTACTTAACAGCTTCCAAATTCATAGGCTTTATCGCACACAGACTTCACAGGCACAAAGTAGTGTCGTACGAGTTTCATCAACACGATGGAATTATGGAATACTAGGATAAAAAGCGATCCATTTACTAAATTACATATAATATTTACAACTACATTAGGTCTTTTAAAATACTTGCCGTACCATGGATAGGTGACAATGAATATCAATTACGAGTGAAGTAAAACGTGGACAACTTGTCAGATCACTATCATTTACAATGAATATAAAGCAAATAAAAATTATTGACAATATTTAAAATCTATAAAATGTTAAAAATAGGCATTATAAATGTTTTTCAGACTCAGAGAATCTCAAACACCGGGTCATGGCACCTGCCTCAAAGATTTGTGTAGTTCTAAAATTTACTTAAAATAAACCCTGCAAGGATTATCTGTGCTAGCCGCTCATAATGTTTTAACTGATACATTTAGGCTACTCTAATCGAATAGTGGGGTTTTACCTTTACACTTATAACACGCCCATGGCCTCAAAGTGCGAAGCGTAAATTTGGGAAACTGGACGCGAGAAATGGGAAAATTGAGTTCACAGTACAGCAAAATAACCTTTGAAATACGTCCAATCCAGTCTGAATGAACTGTGTGAACAGATTATTTGTTATCAATTGATAAACATACAAGTCACTCACTGTGACTTTTGTAAACTAAATAAAAATAATTTGCGGACACCGATAAACACGAGTCGGGCATTCATTGGTTGATGTTCATCACGTGCTTTATTTCTTGTTTAAATTTTCCGAGGAAAAATTATATTGACAAATTCTTGAGGTTTTTTTTTAAAGTAACAAACTTATAACTCGAAATTTATTTACTCTTTGGCATTCCTCTTTTATAGTTAACGCATTCGTTTATTCTCTGGGGATTAGTGGCTAACATACTGGGCTGCGGAGCGAAAGGTTCAAGGCAGGTCCTCTGCTCTTGGCTGCATTATTATTGTGACAGTCAATTCCTGTATTCGGTTAAAAATAGCTGCATAGGCTTGTTTGTGTATTCAATTCCTCGTAAAAATACTCGTCCCTAATTTAGAAATCATAGATTAGTGAAAGGCAGCGAGTCACCACTACCCACCGCCAACTTTTGGGCTACTCTTTATCAACGAATAATGGAATTAGCAGCCACATTATAACGCCCCAACGGCTGAAAGGGTTTGGTTTGTTTTCGATTTCGCGCAAAGCTACACGAGGGCTATCTGTAATAGCCGTCCCCAATTTAGCAGTGAAAGACTATAGGGAAGGCAGCTAGTCATCACCACCCTCCGCCAACTCTTAGGCTACTCTTTTTACCAACGAATAGTGGGATTGATCGTCACATTATAACGCCCCCACGGCTGAAAGAGCGAACATGTTTGGTGTGACGGGGATTCGAACCCGCGACCCACGGATTGCGAGTCACGTGCTCTAACCATTAGGCCATGACAGGTGAGTCGCGTAGAAGGCCGGTACTTTTTGATGGTTTGCCTTCCCTCTGGCCAACAAAGTCAAATTTGGAATAGGTATGCCTGCCTCTCGAATTCTCTAACCTGGTAGTTACGCCACAAATGATCATATAGGTTGATAACACCTAGATTTATCTTCCAGCTATCTTGTTTAAGATTTTAATTACATGAATATTTTCAAACGTTGTAAAGATCTACTCATCGACCAACAACGAAGGCTAGTGAAAGAAACGTCTTATGACGGGTATTTTTTACAATTCCAACTCATCGTCGAGGATGTTAAGAAATGAAC